TTTTGCGCAGCTCGTCCGTGAACAACGGCTCTGTGTAGTTAATGCTGCTCAATGTGAAAGCACGCAGGTGATGGAGATTTACCGCTGATTACAGAACCAGCTTTACTGATAAGATGCGCGTTAAATATCGCATGCGATTTATCGTGCAGCCCTAATGTAATACTTTTATTCAGCAACAATGTATTAAATTGATCAAAAGTGATAGTAAAGTCTTTGGCATTTAAAAAAATAATTAAATAAATTCCTTTCTTTTAAACTTTCTATTCATCAAAGAATCCTGAAAAAATATATACATTTTCCACAAAAATATTATGCAGCAAAAAAAGGGTTTCAACATTGATTTTTCATTGAAATTTCAGCTTTACCATTACAGAAATAAATCCACTTTCAAATATATACAACATTTTTATATTCAAAACGTTTAAATCGTAATATTACTCAACAATATTACCACTATTTTCGGTTAAATAAATGGAGACTTGGTGACCATAAGAAAAAAAGAAAAAAAACTGATCCCAAACTTTTTTACAGTAGTGTAGGTACAGAATGACCAATTTAGAGCTGGGGGGCACAATCAGAATTGTGCAGGAAACATGCTGAAGAAATTTCTTGATATGAGTCATTTTAAATGGTTTTTAGACTCTCAAGTCATCAAATTAATTACACTTCAACCAGTCTGAACCTTATGATTACAATACCTCAGTGCTGCTACTGTGATGTCTCTAAAATGATTATATCATGCTGCTGATGATTACTTCCCTTTATGATGTGTATAACCAACTTTGTCCTGACTTACAGGCACAGAGGTGTATATACAAGGGTGTTTGTGTGTGTTGTTATTGCTGTGTGTGCGTGTCAGGTGTCAGTATACATCTTACAGGCCCATGAGAAATTGGGGTTGAGAGGTTAAAGTCTTTCTCTCTTAATCCAGACAAATATCCAGGGCTCATCAATAATGAAAGCGAGCTGGAATCATGTAAAATTCTCTAAGAAGCCCATCTCCCTTTGTACTTTAACTATGACAGCGATTAATATTTCATATGTATTGTTACATTGCACTGTGTATGTGTGTCTGCTTTCTTCTTTCTTTCTCTTCCTTCTTTCTCTTTTAGATAGCTGCCCTCTCTGAAAAACAGATGAAAAACATTACGGCACTGAGCATTTTGAGCAAAATGGCCACTGCCCGTCACCCAGGCTTCTAAATGGTGGTTTACTCTGCAAATGAAAGCTGCAGCAGCCTTTCCCTTGAGGAGAGCACTTCTTGACACTTTTGTTTTGACAGCGCTAAAGCAATATCTGTTCTTGGCGATAGAGTGTTTTCAAGGTGCTGTTCATTTTCCACTCAGTCTGGTCTGAAAGTTAACACTCTCCCCAGATGATTCAATCAAGCAGAGTTTAATTAGGTAAAATGAGGCAAAAGTCCAGCAAATTTCAGCAAATCCACAACCTTGTGCAACATCTCAACAGTGCAAAATACAAAGAAACTATCAAAAGCTTCAGTTGACTAACTCTGATCTGCAAGCAAAGGTGGAATAAAACCATGCACTGAAATTCATAACCAGTGAAGGTTTAAAATCAGCAAACCCAGCGTCATTGAGAAGATAGTAGCACTTGTTACTCACCCACTTAGGACAACAATGAAGTCCATGACGTTCCAGCCGTTCCTCAGGTACGAGCCCTTGTGGAATACAAATCCCAAAGCGATGATTTTTATTCCAGCTTCAAAGCAAAACATTCCTATAAAGTAGGGCTCTGTTTTTTCCTGAAAAAAGAGAATGGATTGGGTGTAAGACAACAGAAGCTACCTTTATAAAAGGGGGAAAATCTAGGTAGGGTGCTCATCAGATTTTGAATGTTCTATTCAACAAATTCATTATTAAAATTTAATAATTATTAAGCTTTAATTGAGGTTTTACTTACTGAGGTAAGAGTGCCACTACTTGCCTCTGTTTAAACAAGCACTCCTCAGAAATATGTTGCAGAAGTAAAATTGTAACGAAACACTCTTTGAATGGGAATAATTAGCTTGTGGTGAGTGATTCAATGGGGGAAACTACAGTCTGAATAAAGTTGTCAAGAACAAAGAATATGAGGAAGGAAAGAATATGAGTGCACAAGAGAGAAGGGCTGTGCTACATTTAAAGAATAACTGTGGTCTCTAGACCATGATCCAGAATAGTAGGTTTTCTCATTACACAAATTGCTAGAAATGCATCTATAAGTAGATAACTAGGCCAAATTGATTCATTTATAACAAATTATTTGGATAAACAAATGAAAAATGTATAACTTTCAAATGAAAACAGAAAAATAGCTGAAAGAGGAGATAAGGATAGCAATGCTTCATGTGTAGTTTATATATGTATATTTAAGAGTGTAGGCGTGTTCTCACAAGTCTCTTTGACATGGGTGTCTTATCCTCTCCAGGCAGGTGCTGCTCCAAGGCCAGGACGATGCAGTTGGCGATAATGGTGGCCAGGATCATATATTCAAACGGAGTTGAGGAGGAATGTTAAGGATGAGTACATACTTAAGACAGATTGTGCAACTGATGTCATTGGAATGCATATTAACACAAGATCACACTCTGTTACTGTGCTCACTTTGAAAAGTTAAACAGCACATACTGTACTTGAGTATATAAAAACTTTTCATTTGTCATTACTTGTACTTGACCATAAAAAAACTAAACAATTTAATTGCTAAAATCCTAGTTCCTTGCTCAAGTCCTAATAGTACATTAATAAACCAGCCTATCTGATTTGTGAACCTGTTTGAATTTAAAAGAAACGACTTGAGAGAATGATTCACTCACAAATCTGACAAACTGAACCACTATGGATTATCATTAAAAAAAATCTATAGTCACTATAGAAACTTCCAAACTATTAAAAGAACTTCCTAATATTTCCAGGTTTTTCATGGTGGTGGGACCCCTAGAGCATGTTTCAGTGTGCATGTGTAAAAGATCTGCACTCTTTCTCCCTCACACACACACACAGCCAACAAGTGCATGAAGACCAATGCCTTGTCCTGTCAAATGGAAGAGAGCAGCTGTTCACAAGATGTTTTCAGGACCCCTGGTGGTTGTGAGCTCACAGTCAGCCAATGATTTGGATGTGTACAGAAAAATGTTGGATTTTGCTATGTAGGCACCTGCCAATTTCTGCCAGTGTGTGTGGGGACGATAAACAGTAAATAAAAGAGCCCAAATCTGCTTAACACAGAGAAGATAGAGGGAGTTCAGTACAAATAGAACAGGCAGCTAGAGAACAGACCTCTGGAGAAGTCTCTCTCTTCTGTGCCTTTCTTTCCCTAGTTTGTGTTAATTAAATTAAGCCCAGACTTTGCTTAGTTCTTGTTCTAGTAGCATAATAGCAACATGTTGGCATTGGCATAAACAGTAAAATCAACATATGTTTTGGTAAAATAGACAGTACATGTTTGGTTAAATAAAAGAATGTTATAAATACAAAGAGGATCATTTTAAAAGTAACAGTGTTCTAAAAAGGCTGTATAATCTTCAAAATGAAAGTATCTTGTGCACATGCTCTGCATGGGTTTAATACATTTAATACATTTTTTAATGCAAAAAGTGACTTTTTTCCCCTGTGTACGGCTCTTTATCTAAAACGAATCTGACATCCCTTTGCTACAATTTGCTGTTTTGATATGTTTTTGGCTATAATTTTGCCATTTCTCACAGTATTTCTTTAAAAAACATGTTGCTGGTAACTTAATACATGGATACATTATTTTAGCTTTTATTAGAAGCAAAAGAGTGTGAGAGGAACATAGAGAGAAAGAGAGACTACAGCCATTGCAATCTGAGAAAGAGCAATAGAGAGACAGAGAGAGAGAGAGAGAGGGAGAGAGAACGGTATCCATGGCAACAGGCTCTCTCCTGTCTGCCATAAGTCAGTACTCAGAATTAATATGGTCTCTGAGCCATCAGTGTTCTCTACATGCTGCTGAATGCATTCGTACAATCAATACTGACTACACAAACATCCTTTCAATGTACCCACCACAACACACGATACTCAATATTTCTTCAAATAAGCTCTAAATAAGTTCAGGAAATTTGGCAATATTGAATAGTCCAGCCACAGGATCACAGGTATCGCCATTACTTTCAGCGACTTTATTAGCAAATTCTCTCTTTTCCAAGCTCTCTCAGTCTATTTCTACATTTTGCTGGAATATATTTCAAAATAGCAGTGCAAGTAGTGGCAGTGGAATGTGATACAGTTCAAAGTGCTTTTCAATGAGCAAAAAGAATGAATTGCATTTCAATCCAATGAAAGCTTGGAGCATGAGAGAGAGAGAAAGTGATTAGGAGATATACAGAGAATAAATGCGTGGAAAAATAGTTTCTATTTCTGCGTCATCATTCTGAGAAGCCCACAGTGAACTCTCATTGGCATTCTGAGCTTCAGTGTCACATGATCCTTCGTTAATCCTTCTAATATGCTGATATGGTGCTCAAGAAACATTTCACAAACTTTCTTTCTTTAGTAATAATAAGCAAAATGCAAACTTTCTTTCTTTAGAATAATAAGACCAGGCACAATAAGACCAGGAACATGATTTAGGAAAGCAAACAGGATTCATTTGATTTGAATTTAAAACTCTCATTCATCAGGTGATTTTCCAAACCTGATTAAGGCAAATGAAGAGATCCTTAACACCTCCCACTGCATCCTCTGTTTCTCTCTCTCCTGTTCACTGGAGGGAGGCCTAGGGCCTAGGATTGACAGGATCAATTATTGAGTAAGTATGGGCACGGTGGGGTACTTCCTCCCTCAGCCACACAGTGGGGATCAGAGGGGCGAACAGCTGCGGCTTCCCCACCGGCCGAGCAGCAAAGCGCCCCACTCGCTTCATTAAGCCCCTGTCCTTCCCGCAGATGCCATCGACCCACCACAACTGACCTGTCCACCTGACCTCGTGGCCAAACCAGCCCACTTCAGGAATCGAGATGCCAAATAATGACATCACCTGATGATCTCCTTCCCATGTGATTCACTAACAGAGGCAACAACACGTGCTTCCAAACCTCTGCGACATTCACTGCCTACACACCCACACCCTAACAAACATGTTCGTCCCTAATGACTCCATCTGTAAGTTTTCCAATTAACCAAATGACTGCATTTCTCTCCAGACACATCTCTGTCCCTCCTCCCAGAACTCCATCAGCTTGAGCTCAAATCACACGTCGAGCGGCACTTCAAACAAAGCCTTCCTAAATTACCGCTCTCACACACAGGTTGTCGATGCTGTTTTGTGAACATGCTGTTTTGCAAACTGGTGTGACCTTTGGTTATGCCACAGGCTATGTGTGTGCATGTTTGTGTGTACATATGAGGAGAGGTGTGTCTTTTTTCACAAATTTGCTATCTATTATGATTTAATTTACAACAGACAAATACAATTCAAAATGTAATTTTAAAAATTACTTTTAATTTATTAAATGTAAAAATTCAAATAAAAAATCAATTTTTCCCTAATTATAGTCCATATGGCAACAGAACATTTTGTTATTTGTTTTTATTCCTGATGTGCCACACCACTAAATTTTATCTCATTGGTCCAAAATCTCCTCATAACAGTGTATAAAACATTAAATATCTTCTGATTGGTTGTTAACGTCACCTACTGCAGTATCTTTGCTTTCGGTGTGAACAGACAAATCACTTGTTGATGGAAACGTGCCGTGTCGCACCTGGTTAAGACACACTGGTTGCTAAATAAATTAAAAATCTATTATAAATTTACTAATGATATAACTCAATTCCATGTTGACAAGCTTAAGCTTTAATAACCCTTTTGAAAAGCCAATGATTTCAGATATATTTCAAGAGTCTACAATTAAAACTTACTGCTCTGATAAAATCCCATGATGTATCACATTAGTAAATCTAAAAAAGGAAAGTTCATTATTAAAATGAAACAAGATTAGCAAAATTGGGCAGCGTCCAATACTATCACATGCAAAAGCTGACTGTTCCTCCCATACAAATGAACACTGTGTGGGAGACATGCATGCATCTAAATTGGAGCAAGATAGACTTTTTTAAAGTGTGTTTGACTCATGGAGATTCAACTTTATTTTTGTCAAAAAAAAAATTAACTTTATTTTTGTCAGAGGAGCAAACACCAAGTAATAGTTTCAATGTAACCTTGTGGAAACCATAACAACATAAACACTAGCATCCTGATGACATCTTGAATGATGTAATCAGCATCTAGAAAAACACTCAAAAAGAACTTGACAGACTAGCATGGGAGCTATTTTGCCCTTGGGAAGGTCACAATGTCTTTGTTTGACAGCGAAATGCACCTAGAAAAGTCTTCTTTTCAACAGCTGTTCCCAACATTGTTCAGCTGCATTATAATTATGAGACATGGCAGGAGGTAATACTTTTCCTGGTCTGCCACAGCTGTCATACAGTGCAACATGATACAACAAGAACCATCCATTTAGGATGCTTGCAACAGAAATGCATACAGTATGTGGGTTAGACATATGAACCTATTCACACATTCATGTTCATTACATTCTATTTCAAAATACATGTTGCATTACATGTATTTGAAAAAAAAAAAAATCATGCACAGTGCTCAGTCACACATTCAGAACAGAAGAAAGTTTACAAAAAAAATAAAGCATACAAATATGCCAGAAGAGATTTTTCAAAACCTAGTGAGTTTCTAAGGCAGCATCCTAAACATCATGAAACTTCTTAAAGGTGGGGAAAGCGATTTCTGGTAGCCAATGTTGACATTTTAAATCACCAAAACAAACACGCCCCTACCCCAAAAGGGTCTCGCCCCTATTTTGATAGCTCCGCCCCACACAAAGCGTTTTTGATCTCAATAGAGTTGGACAATAACAATGTTTCTAATGTTTCTAATCTTTCTAATATTTCTAATCAGCATTTCTCTCACCCTTGAATTTCTAACAATGCATTATGGGATTGCCTTGTACCTGAAGGATATATGTGATGGTAACCTTAGAAACCTTGATCAAAACGAGGTACCTTAAGAGGTAGCATAATTAAGACGCCTACCTTTTAGAACACTCTTTTTCTCAGTGCCGCACTTACGATGCATTAAAGTGTTCCCTCCATAGGCAGTTTGCTGGGTTTTGGAACAAAACTCTTATAAGCAATTCCTCACACGAGTGTGAACAGCTCTAAAGTCATAAAAAACTGCCAACTTATTACCATTGGCTATTAATGACTCCTAATCCAAAACATAATGAGTCTACAACATATATTTAATTACGCTCTTGATCTTTTCTTGTAATACACTTGAGAATCACTCACATAGGGATTTAGTTTGCTCCTTTCTCTGAGGAACAGACTCTTGCATTTATTTTGGGGCAATACCAAGTCATTACAGTACCATTAGCAGAGCCTCTGTCTCTTCAGTCCCCTGAAGCTCTCTGTTTAAGAGCAAGAGATGTGTGACCATATGCTTAAAATCTGCCTAAAGTGATCGCCGACACTGACACTTGCATTATGTCGCAAGTGGGCCATTAGGTACATGAGAGAGCCGAGACCAGATAGATGCTATAATTAAATTTACCATGCAGGCGCACACACACATTCTGAGTCACGCTGTCACAAATGAAAGAGGGAACGCACAAAGACGTATCAATCAGCGCAGACAAGCACATTTCCATGATATCACCAGCCTCAATCACTCTCCTTCTTTCATCATTAGATTGCTGAACAGCTTTTAACATTAAGCATGTTACTGTCTTACAACAGGCATCAATAAACAACCAAACCTTTTGTCACACGATCACAGCATGTACCCGCTCGAATGTCATCCCTCCTTCATGGCATTCAAAACAACAGGAATGACATTCAACACAAGGCAAGGATTGGAGTCAGCTGAAAACAAGGGAACACATACACTGACACATTATTGAAAGTCTCTCTTCTTTGGAAATTACACTTCTGTGTAAGGCTCAGATTGGTTCACACTTTACAGCCCTCGCCTGCATAGTGAGAAGTTTCTCTTTTTAGCATGCATACGCATTTGGCATTTAGATGTTTGTTTTTAGATGTGTGAGCAAATAGCTGCTTTTCTCATTTCAAATTTGACATTAAATGTCACTCAAAGAGAACTTTTTAAAACATAAATAAACAAATAACCATACAGCTATATTTTTGGATGTTAAAAGTGTAGGTCCGCCAATTTTCAACCAGTTTTGTATTGTTACTAAGTTACTAAACTAGTATATGTAAATGAACAATATGTACTCTTTCTCCATGTTACATGCATTCAGATATCCCCATTTATTTGTCACCAAAAGTCTCCCTGATGATGCAAAACACGTCAACCAGAGAACTTTTGACAGCTCCAGAGCTCTTATTTAAACTAGAGATCAAACTTCTGCATTTTTGTATTCCCACCCACAGGCAATTGGATCAACAGATGGGTGGCACCAAAAAGTGCAAAGGTGCATTATGGGTATTGAAGGTTTTGCATAAGGGAATGAATGCTACAGCCCTTTTACTGTACCTTCTGATCACACTGCAAAAAGTGATACTCTTCCTTAGTATTTTTTCTTGTTTTCTAGTGAAAATGTTAAAAGATTCTTAAATCTTCCAGTGCAAATGTTTAAAAATTCTTAAAATACATTTCCTTAAGCAAATTACATAAGATAATGAGTCTTGTTTTCTGTGAAATTAATCAAAATGAAGTTATGATTAAACCAAGAACAAGTTCCATACCCCACTGACAAATATTTGCTCATGTTTTAAGCATAAGCTCACTTAATTTTGATATATTTCTCAGAAAACAAGCCTTATTGTTTTCATTTTGCATCTCAAGTAAATGTATCTTGATTTAATGATGTTTAGGATATTTGTATTGGGAAACAAGACAAAAATATTACATTTTAGCACTGTCATTACTTTTTGCTCTGACCTTTTTAATGCCTTAATTTGTTGAAGGGCTAATTAAGACTATTTAAGTCCCATAGAAACCTTGTAATAGCTACATAAGTACATACTGTGTTCCACCTGACAATGGCTTTCAAACAACACTCTTAATTTTCCCTAAAATGACTTTAAATCTCAAACACTATTGCTTTAAACCAGCAAACTCTGTAATAACTGGATTACAGCAAGGCTTTTACTGATCCTTTACAGTTAGTCACTGATCTCTGCCTAATTTAAGTAAATGCTAAGCCACACGATCATGTCTGGACAGTCTGCTGTGGCATTAAAAAAAGGGCAAATGAAAACCCAACAATTGTTCCAGTAGTGCGCACATGTGACAACTATGGTCGATGAGCTTATCATCTCCTGTCACTGACTCATCTCATTTGCATCATAGAGAAGGCTTTTTTTAATCACACCGTTGCACTTTGAAGTCTGTAATCAATGACATGCGTCCAAACACCTCCTGTGAGGATTATGTTGTAGATCTCTTCTCCCTCTTCTGACAAAATCATCAACGATTGTTTATGTCTCTTCATCATCAGGAACCATCTTGACAGAGCATTAATTACAAAGAGAGCTCATAACAAAACATAAACCTCATCATCAATAGAAGACACTTACGCACAGACTGTAATTTGGAATGCTAAAACATAATATTCTTAACCCTGAATTATAAAGCCCTGCTCCTGATGTAAGCTATTGCTTTTTTCTGAGTTTGAAAACATAGTGGAACATTCATGTCCATGGTCTCTGTCCATGGTCCTGAATTCAGTTCAATGAATTATGTAGTGTAAAACAAGAAGTGTTTTGAAATTTTCAGTACATTTACAAACAGAATACATCATTTTTTACTTTTGTGTCATTACCAGGTCAATGAGTACAATCTCACGCACAAACCTGTCAGCAGATCTTGCACATGCAAATCACTATGTTAGTGGGTCACTGAGAAAGAGATTATTAAAAAATAAATCTTTGAAAAAAATCATTTAAAACATGCTTCAGATTCTTAGCAATGTAATATTTGGAAAAAACATTTATATAATTGTCTTAAAAAAAAATCTATTTAATGACTAAAAACTAGTCTAGTGGTGTTGAAGGCATGTGAGTATACAAACAAAGTTGACTGGCAGACAGCGTCGTTGAATTATTAATATATTTTAAAACAAAAAAAAAACACGCTTCATTCATTTTTCTTTTTAGCCTATTTTTATGCAATATTCATATATATATATATAGAGAGAGAGAGAGAGAGAGAGAGAGAGTTATATATTTTTTACTTTATGCCGCACAAAATATTAAATTGTATTTATAAAGTCATTGTTTGTATGAATTCCATTTTGAACATGCATTTCTTACTAACTTGTAGATGTCATTTTTTATAAATACAAAATACAAAAAAAAAGACTTGAATACACCTGTTGTACGATTTTTTTTTTAACTAATAGTCATTTTTTTATTACAGGTTTTTTTTTTTTTTTTGAGTCTTAAAGTACTATGACCCTAAAGTTTCTTTATATGAACCATATGTAAGCAAGTGAACTCAAATTAAAGTCGAGATTTTGAGGAGACTGTAACAAATTTAACCAATAAGTTTCAGATCAGCAGAAATGAACACAGGAGTTGCATGCACTTTTGAAAATACGTGTTGGCAGCACATGTGCATGTGCTGTCAACATCTAGCGTGTGTTTTAGGGGGCAGGGCGTGTTTTACCGTTTAGACAAAAGGATATGGCCATTCTATGATCTTCTTAGCATACTTCCTAACGATGTTGTCCTCTCCAAAGATGAAGAGCGATCTGTTGACGGTGAAGCAGTTCTGTCGGACCGGAATGGGGTTGTACAGAGCCATGGTTCGGGCTCGTTGCGCTTTGGTCTGTTTGAAGGCTGGTGAAACTCCACCTGTGGATACCGCCGGTGCATCCCGGTTCCGACTGCGCTCCGAACCCCCATCCCCGGCTCCCAGCAGACCGGGAACATCGTCTCCGAAGCGAGCCATTCTGTGTGGAGCAAAAACAGAGAAATCTAAGCCAGGTGCAAAAAAAAGTACGTTTACTTCCACACAGTGAACTGCAAATAAGCATCCAAACTGCAAGAGTTTCCCTGCTATGACAAACGACGAGTTATTAAACGACCGTTAAATCCTCCAAGCACGCGCAACACGTAGCTTACTCCAACATCCATCCCTACAAACGCCAAAACACCAAAAGTAACATTACCTGAAAGCAAAATGGGGAATAAAACCGTTTATAATCCGAATATCCAGTCGTACATCCCATGAAGATATTCTTTTTAACAGGAGGAGAGCAAACTCTTCGTGGTAAAACTAAAAAGTCATCGTTTTTAACTCTCTCCGGGTCTGTTTTGACCTCCTTCGTCACTCTTCCATCTCACTTACTTAATTTAAAGGGTTTTTTTGTGTTTTTTTGGGGGGTATCTTTTTTAATCTTTCCACGCGTCAACGACAGTGTTCAACAAGCTCCATCTTCACTGTGTGTGCTGTGAGGCGCGGATGTGGTTTGTTTTAGGTTGGCTCTCGCGCCTGGCCACCCCTCACCATGCACAGCGCGAATGTGTCTGAGCGCGTGCTGCCTCTCCAAACGACACAGTGCGCAAATTCATTTGAAAGCGAGACAAATAACCTCTATAGACATGCAAATACGATTCGAATAGGTTGCTTTGTTTTTCTTAAACAATAGGTTAAGATATAGCGTCAATATTAAAGTTGTGTCAATCAACGAGCGATTACAAAAGGGAGTGAAAGCATTTCATTTCACAAAGTTTGAACCGTTCACTACATAAACCAGCCGCAGGACTAAAATATCTTTAAAGGGGTCATATGATGCGATTTCATTTTTTCCTTTCTCTTTAGAGTGTTACAAGCTCTTGGTGCATAAAGAAGATCTGTAAAGTTGCAAAGACTAAAGTCTCAAATCCAAAGAGATATTCTTTATAAAAGTTAAGAGTTAGCCACACCTACCTAAAACGGCTCGTTCGAACACGCCCCCACATACCTACCTCACTATGTGGGAAGATTTGCATATACACAAAATAATGTTCTTTTTAGCAGCATCATCAATCATCAATGACCCCTTTAAAACGTCTTCTCGTTTAAGACTTTCTTTTACGTAGTTACATAAAAAAAAAAGTTCGCTTGAAATCAAAATTACAATTTATTTTCTTAATAAAGGCCTACGTGAACTATTCTTCGATTCACGCTATTGCAAAATATAAATGAAGAAATAAAAACATCATAAAAAAGCAACAACTCGCTCGGTCTCTGAAACGCGTTTCTTTCCCGCTGACGTCACTACGCCCTTTTATTTTTCTACCTCTCTCCCTCAATAAAATATGAATAAAAGTCCCGTCCTCAATGTTTCAGTTTACACGTCAAATAAAGAAAACTCAGAATGTTTGAGGGATATCAATTTCAAGCACTGTAACATCTTTTTTCACTCATAACAGACACCTGTACCAAGTGTAAGCCTCTCTATTCTGGGAGCAGCTTGTTCAGTTGACTTTGAGCTCAGAGATAATTGGTGTTTAAAACTCACTCTTCCGGCGCGTGTGCAAGCTCTACTGACAGGCTTGTGCGAGAGAATGTACTTGTTGGCCTGGTAACGACACAAATTTTCAGAAAGAAATAAGATAAAACAGGATCAGTGGAACAAAGCTGTCAGAGTTCAAAGATGTTTGTGCAGATGTAATGCAGGATGCATTTGTCTTTAAACCTTGTACTCTCCTGAAACATGGCACATCATTATTTGAAAAAACGTATTTTACAAGTTTCTGTTTTTTTTTGTCATACTAGATTAGTAAATTAGCCTAGATATTTTACCATTTTCTTTTTTTCACATATTGGGCCATTAAAATAATACCATGCAACATATAAAACTGAATTTTACATTTGTTGAAGAGGCAATAAAAACAGCAATAAAAGGTTATTACCACTTCCTTTCCCAATTGGGCCATTAAAAAAGAAGATAAAGAAGAACTAATTCTAATTTTAAGAAGTACAGCATGCACCTCTACCTCACTACAGATAAAAACAGAGAACTGCACAGAGAATTAAAGAAACCAAATATTAAACTATCTATAGCGAATAACCGCACCCAACAAAGTGTGAGGAGATACAGTGAGGCATTCCGTGATGTCACTTAATCTGCTTAAAATTAATGAGCAGAACAGTTTAAGGGCCCGAAAGGACCTGCTAATAATAGTCAACTGCAAAGTGAGAGATCTCACGCAGAGGAAAAGGGGGAGGATGTGGCTAATAAAAATGATGATGGAAACTGCAATAGTCCATTGACCCAGTAGATCATTCCAGATTGAGGTTATTATCGCAAAACAGCACCGAAAGATGAATGAAAAGACATTTCTCCTCTCTCTCCCTCAAAAGTGAATAGAAACTAATGATTTAGGAAGCACAGATGATGAAAATGTCAAATACAGTTGACGGCTTCCTGTTTGATGACTTTAATGATCTTCAATAGCCTTCAGGGTGTGCTTGTGTGGAACACGGTGATTCTTGCCCCAATTACAGATACATCTGGGTAGTGTATACTTATATCAGCTGAGATGAGTAGGCGAAGTAGTACACTTAAACAGGTGCCCTATATTGAGGTCTACTATAAATAAAACCGCAAACACACACACACACACAGTGAGCCGCCAGTGTCCATCCTCAATGGCCAATTACTCAGAATGTGAAAGTACAGTTGTGCTCCATGGAGGCGATGGAAAAAAAGAGCGTGTGTGTGTGTGTGCAAGGGTGACAGAATGAGAGAAAGTGTGTCAGAGAGAGAAAAAGACAATGGTAGACTGAAAGAAGCAGGGAGGAAGTACTGTAGCATACGCATTCATCAGATGTCAACACGTTTTCATTATATTCTGTTGAATAAGGCTTATGGAAAGCATGGGAGTGGTCAGAGCAGCAGTCGGCCTGACTGTGCTGACAGAGGAACTGTTGCTCTGTTCCAAAACCTAGTCATAGTCATCAAGGTAGTCTACTTAATTACGTTGCCTCTTAAGATACCTTATTTTGGCCAAATTCGGCAGAATCAAATGTATTGTTTACAGAGAGTGCAGTCCCAGAATGCATTGCACAGAGCTCAGTAAATAAATAAATAAACAAAAATCCTAGGCAGACATTATAAACATATTTCGTTTTATATTGATACAATACATTTAAAAAGTTTAATATGATGCAATATTTCTTTGTGCTATGTGTTTTATGCTTACTAGAGAATCACGCCATTACAGGTAGGTTAGCAACATGTTGAAGTCAAACTTTACTGAAATCATTTCATATTTTCATTTAGTTTAACTTGATTTACTAAAATAAATAAAACTAAAACTGAAATTAAAATTAATAAAAACTATATAATCATATTTAAAAACAACAAAAACTAATAAAAGTGACAAAAACACAACAAAATTACTAAAACTTTAAAGGGGTCATATGATGCGATTTCAAGTTTTCCTTTCTCTTTGGAGTGTTACAAGCTGATTGTGCATAGATAAGATCCCTGAAGTTGCAAAGACTAAAGTCTCAAAACCAAAGAGATATTCTTTATCAAAGTTAAGACTCTGCCACGCCCCCCTAAAACGGCTCGTTCTAACACACCCCACATATCTACACCTACAATAATGTACAGTATTTGAAAAATAATGTGTTTTTTGAACATTAAAGCATGTCAACATATTCTGTTACACCAAATACACCAAATAATGATCTTTAAAAAAGCATCATATGACCCCTTTAACGAAAATTAACATGAAAGCTGAAAATCCAATTCAAATTGTTAACAAAAACTAGAATCTCAATGTTATAATACTTATATAAACAAAATAACACATATATAGCTACATTTATTTATTTATTTTTTATTTATTGTATTAATTTGAACTATTTTATTTAATTTTTCCTTTTTGTTGTAAGCTCTGTAAGAGGAAAGCAAAGAAAACTGGAATTTTGCCTCTCCTTGTGTCTTTCAAAATCAGAGGATATTTTCATTATACTGTGTTTGAAACCGCTTGTTTGTTTACTCATTCAATACTCACTACATAGTGAAGCCTTATGAGTAAAATGAGTTCAGACGTAGCTGTAGACATTATAAACAAATAAACAGATATGAGTCAAATATGCCAAAAAAAAAAAAAAAAAATGCTGCCTGTTTGTTGCTGTTTTCCAATGACAGGGTGATACAAGAAAAACAACCGATTCCCACTGCCTTTCATAAGCCATTTCATTTCATAAACTTGATCATAAAAGAAATCATTTAAAATACGTAATGTCTAGACTGGTAATTGTCTCTCTGTGTTTGTCTTTCTCTCTCCCTCCTCCTACTTCTGTCCAACGGGTCTGTGTTTGATCACAGAAAACACAATACATTTGACAGTTCTAGTAGTACCTTAATCCAAGGTAAATCAGCAGACCCTGACCTCTCTGTTTAAATTTTGTATTTAATTCCCAACTAATTAAAAGACATCTCCACTCCCACATAATGTAGTGTCCTTGTCATCCTAATAGTGGTCTCCATGGTGACTGTACACTGTTGAATTTCTCATTTTTCCCTCCTGTTGTTGGATGCACAAGGTTCGCTCAACAAAAAGACACCTTTCACAGCCGTAATCTTATATGTCCATTCCACTGTCACACTCAGAGACATGCTGTATGTGCTATAGGCAATCCAAATGTCCAACCTGCAGGATTTACACACTCACTTACAAGGCAACTTTCAAATGAAATCTAGATATATAGCCTACTTCGATTGTGAATCATCCTTCCAGAGCAAACACACGTTCTTACAGGGATAGTTTACTAATAGTTTACTAGTTACTATCCCACAAATAGTCAACACAACTCCAGTCTGCATGTTTGTAAAGTCCATTATTGAGTCCATAATCCAATGCTTCCTCCAGTGAAAAAGTCAATTTGCTGTTGTCCTCTCACATCAAGATCCACTGACATACTTGTTTAGAATAGTTCTGGACTGTT